CTCTAACTAGCAGAGTTAGTAGCATACAGGATACCTTAAGATACCTGTGAAATATAACCTTGGAATAGGAAATCTCTAAAGGGGGCAACCACGGATGTTTTAGTTGCTATCTGAGATCTTATGTACATGTACACTTACCTTAGATGTATAACAAGGATTGCTGTTTCTTTGATGGGGGTTGCTGGACTCTCTTTTTAACTGCATTTTGAAGTGAGTTAAGAAAATTGCATTCAAAAAGTAATGGGTTTTCCTCTGTTCTCTCACTAATTGATGTGTTTCTTAAGTTTGTATTTTCTACTTCCATTTCATTTTACATTCAAATTAAATTCAGTTGCATTGGGTCCATTCCAGTTTTATTATAGTTTTAGCATGTTTAGTCTAATTAGTGTTAGTTTGAACAGTTTTAAGTTCAGTTATTCAACCCTGCAGAAAAGTGAAAGTTTAAAATTTAGTTTAATCAAATTGCATTTGGTTTATTGTTTATAGTCGATGGAGAACCTGCCTTGATAGGACTAGCTCAGAAGTTTGCTAGAATACTTTAAGAAGAAATTGTATTTATTTCATAAGTTCTTCATATAATTTGCTCTTGTATTTCACTTTAAGAGTAATTTTTCTGATAGTTCATCTGTGATACAAAAAGAAAATTGTTGTATATTAATAGAAATTAGCCGACAACATGTATTATTATCTAGGAATCAGGGATGTTAGTAGATGGAGTGTGAAGATGCGAGAACCAATGATTGCCCTTTATGGGGAGGATTATTTCCAACAGCTTTGGAATAAGTATTGTGATGCTTTCCAATTGCTTTGGAAGCATACTAATGGTAACATATGCTGTGAAGAATTATCAAAGATAGAATGTCCAACTTTAATTATCTTTGGTGAGAAAGACTACTTGTTTAGTTCTGAGCATATGGAATTTCTGCTTAGGAATATAAAAAATGCAAAGTAAGTAATATTTTATTCTTAATCTTTGATTGGCATGTTTGAAAAGTTGTGTTACAGTACAATAAATTTGTCACTAACAACATGCTAAGGAAAAACTACTAGATACTTGTTTTGCTTATATATTAGTGTTATCCAATTATAAGACGTGAGAATCTTTACTGCTGCTCTTAAAACAGGTTTACCAACTATTTAGTAAAAAATGGAAATATCAGATTAGAAAATATAGAAGGCTAAAAATCTGTTTACATGTATCACTTTTTCAAATATATTAAAATAATGTATAAGCATAATATATAATGATAATATAAATACTATGCCATTATCACATACTAAGGGCAAATGAATTGGCTACAAGTTGCACTGTGGTTAGATATCAAACAGCAAATTACAGTCCTTTTGGACAGTTTCAATTATTGGCCTTTGTGGGTACTGCAGTTAAAAGTGTGACCAAGGACTTTCTCATTCTCTATGTAGGGTATATTTGATGTGTATACTGAACTTTATTAAAAGTATTGTTTACCATGAGTGTATGTAAGAAATGTGTTTTTTTACACATGTCACAAGGTCTTTGTGTAATAATCAGCAGGTTCACCCAAAAAGAGGATTTATTTTTTAGTATGGAGCTGTTATAAAATATATTGTTTTAAAAATATAAAATTATAGTTTTAAGGATACTTAGAAAGTATAATTTATTACCTGAAATGTATTAATTATTGATATTTTTTATGGAATATGCAGGAAATACAAATTTGAGATTAGATAATAGTCAAGTATGTCTTTAATATCAGGCATTCTAAAACAATGTTGTTTTAAGTATAACACAAAAGCACTTATCACCTTAAAAACTTTATGAAGACACCAGGTAAATACCTCTGGAGAAGGTAAACAAGGGCTGTCAAAACATGCCAGGTTGTTTATATCAAAAATGTTTTAATTCATGCTGTATAACATTCTTTTTATGCATTAGTTTGATATACAGGGTCTCTCAAAGTGGTTTTGTGATACATGTAATTTGAATTTTTTAACAGCTTAACACTGTGAAAAAAAAAGTTCAATGAATCAAACACAAGTGAAAAATTTATATTTTATACTAAAACTAATTGTGTGGTTTTGAATTTGTAAAATGCAAACTTTATGGATTCAGGTGTTATATATATATATTAAGTTTATTCTAATATACAATGATGCTTGAATACTGTTTGAAAATTAAATTAACAATCAAAGAATTGGTGAAATTATTAAATATGAAAGAATGATTAAACATGCTTTATATTTTTCATATTTTTTTCTTACCTGTAGTTCACATGACCTTTCTCTATGTTTTTTTTATGTGTTATAGTTCTGTTAAACAATTATGTATTTTAACCTAAATAAATTAAGCCACTAATATGTTATCATTAATTTTTTACAGGTTACATAGGATGATTGATGGAAAACATAACTTGCATCTGCGTTTTGCCAAAGAGTTTAATACTTTGGTTGAAGAGTTTCTCTCTAATCCCTAGAATTAGATACAAAGATAATAAATTTTTGGACATTATAATTATTAACCCATAAAAGTGTATTAAACTTAGAATAGGTAATGGTCCAATGATAAATTTATTTCATTGAAGGTTTTAATGTATATGAATCTATGATGACAGCTAGTTTTAAAGATATATTCTCATCTCTGGAAGGTATTTATTTATTACAGAGCTACAGATCAAGTTTCTTTCAATAGGGTACTTTACCCCTCAAAATTAGATAAACTGGGTAAAAGTGACTTTTGGAAAAATAATTGTGTTGCAAAGGAAAATGCTTATTTTATTGGGATAGCACTATTTGTTCATTTTAATTTTGTTACTCTACTCAATTTCTGATGCACTTGGAGTTTAACCTAAAAAAATGTCATATATATACAGTGTCAATTTCAAAAAGCCAATGCATGCGTATTTGCATAAAAAATAATTCATCCATTACTATTGTATATTCTGAAAAACTGACATGTGGTAACAACTTGTCTTAGTTTATAATCTTGTGCTAGCCTCCTCTAGGCAAAATCAAGATTGTGTTCCATAATAGAAAGTCCACAAGCATATTTTCTAAACATCTAACTTCTCAGAACAAATTTATGCTCTAAACTTTAACTTTGCAAGTATGCAGCAGTAGCTGCTGATACTGAGAAACTTGGAAAAATGACTGTACAGGTTCAATAATGCTTTTATAGAATTTGAATCCTTTTATGCAAATCCCACTATAATAATACATTTCAATACAGGCCAGTCTGATAATTTTTCTCTTATCTAAGAGAGGGACAACCACTTTTAACTCTCATGACAGTCCAGTGTTTATGCAGATTCTCATCCATAGTCTTCAATGTTTCCATATCCTTGAAAGTCATCCACACATATGGCAAATAGCTAGTATAAAGTCATCACTTTCAACAGTATGTATAAAGAAAGATTCAAATTGTGCTCATAAATCTTAAAATATTGTACTCTTTCCTATTCTCAGTGTATTATTATGTTCATTTTGATAATCTTTTGTTGAAGCTTCAAAATGTTTCACCATGTTATTGTTGAATGAAATATCCCCAACCTTGTACATTGCTTTGTTATCTTCAACTTTGATATCCTGCATTAAGTTTCACAACACCTTTTTATTCCATATATTATATTTTTGCTGTAGTTCCATCAGTTAGTGGATGTACCTCACTGAACATAAATATTTGGCTCTTATAATTTGCACTTGGTGAATCTTGTTGAGATATTGCTTTTATAATCTTTACTGTTTAATAATCTAGCTAAATGTGAACACCTAACATAAATGCAATTAACAATGTAACTTCGTAACAGCTGATATATTTTATAACATCTATTAGCAATAAGATTTTTTTGTTCATTAGATTGGATAAAGTTGAAAGGATCAACCTATATAACTTGTATGCTAACTCTACTGCACTTTTCAATCCTAAACATCTGATAGAAGCTATTTCTACAGGCAGTTCTTGATCATTCAGCAACTTTATTAGTCTTTACTGTAGATGTTATACAACTTGTAGAGTTTATAAAGAAAAACATTCTTCTTTATGGAATCTCTTCAGGCTAAATTCAATCTATATACAAAGCAATATGATTGAATTCCGACAGGAACATGCTCTGATTTATTTTACCCACTAGCATCATTAATTTGTATTCATGATAACAGCTACATCATTAATTGCACAAGTTTTAGAAATTGAGATTTAATTTTTTCAGTTTTTTGCTTAACCGGTTAAATGTTGTTTAGCATATCTGTTATCTAATTTCATGTTTTTAATGATTGGTATAAATAGTTTTCCTAGTTTGACTAACTTTAAACAAATAATCAGTTTTTGACTGCTATTTCTGTACATTCATCTACCATCATAGATAAAATGGGATGTGCTTATTTTTCTTGCTGTAGCTCAGTGAATTACATTGCTATACTTTTCTGAACACTATTTCAACTTCTTATACTTCATTTATATATATATCATTTATTGTTTTTAACTATCAATTATTTTCGTTATCTGTTAGAATTATTGATTTAGCAGCATAATAAACTGTCCTAACAACAATGTCATCAGCTGACCTGAAGATTGGTTATTTGTTTGTTTGTTTGGTGCTTTATGGCGCAAAACAATGAGGCTATCTGCGCCAAACAAACGGTAAAAAAAAGTGAAAGTAAATTAGAGTAAAATGTAAAAATACAGCTAGTTAAAACCAAAATATGTCCAAAATGTGGATAAAAGATTTATATGCAACTAAAAACACCAATATTGCATAACAAATAAAAAAATACAATCTAGTTGGACAGTGTCACCATCACCAATGACACTGTCCAACGTCAGTGGTAAACTATTACAAATTATGTGTCTAAAATGGTGACGGCGTTCACAGTCGTAGTGACGGTACAACATTAAAATGTTGGCTATTTGACTTGAGTGTCACAATGGCTGTGCATCGGTGGATCAATACCAGATAAAAGAAAATGATGGGTTAAAAAACTGACCAATGCGTAGCCTTGCCAGGACCACATCCTCCTTCCAATCCTTACGGAAGCAAGACAGCCAAACACCAACATAAGGTGGAAAAGCTTGTTATTACATTGCTCACCCAAGTTGACTACCAACTGGCACGAAGCTGTGCCTTGAAGACAGAACCGTAGTCCATGTATGGGACAGGCATGGCTGTAATGGCACCAGAGCAGATGGACTTAGCTGCAGTGTTAGTGAGCTCATTCCCGTGAATACCAGAAAAACTGGATGGAAACAGAAGATAGAGAAAAGTGGGCCAATCAGTG